TTCCAGGCACCCCATCCTGCCACCACCAGGGGTGGGATTCTTCACCACTGTCTCGACACTGTAGGACCCAGACTCTTGCACCTTCCCTGGATCCTCTGTCCTCTGCACTCTCCCAACCCCCTCCTCCCCACTGCCCTCCAGGATTTCCCCAGCTCTAAATTTCTCTCACTCTGATGCGAGGCCCTTTCCAGCCCTGACTCCCAAACTTGGCTTTTGCATCTCCAAACCTGAAGGAGCTCAGCAGAGGGCATGCGCCTTTCTTTAACAGGACCCACCCACCTTAGAAGGTTCCTGTGGGGTTCAGGAGCATTTTCCCTTCCTTCCAGCTGGACCGATTGTGAGGCCGGTGTTGACCCTTAAGCTCTGGCGGAGCCCTTGTTGCCTCCAGGGCTCTGAGGAGGGCCGTAAACGTGCAGGCAAAGCGTAGGAAAACCCATCCCTAGTTCCTGTTGGATGGCACCTGTGTCCACCTTGTCACCTAAGCTGGAGTCCTGGCCTTCATGTCATCCTGGACTCTGCTCCCCCTGCCTTGTCTAATTATTCAGCAAGCCCTGCTGGTTTTTATCAGCAATAACCGATGACTCTATTATCACCAGTAACTCTAATTTGCCCCTTTGCCTTGAACACACTATTCTTTGCATATCCTGTTCCTTCTCTCTGGCATGCATCTCCCCCTTCCACTTCCTCCCAGATTCCTAAGATTCTCCTATTCATTCTTCAAAGCCCATGGGTCCTAATCCCAGCTCCATCTCTGCCCTAGCTGTGTGACCTGGCACACACTGCTTCCCCTCTAAGCCTCAGTTTCCCCATCTTTAAATGGGAGCAGAAAGCCCTACCTGCCAGGATAGCTACATGGATCAAATACTCTAATACATGGTGAGCACTTAGCACGACACCCAAGAACAGCCAAGGAAACCGTGACTCTCCAGCCCCTGCACAGCCAGCCCAACCCCGCAGGGCCCGGAAGGAGATGGCCCCTGACCTGCAGTCAGAACGAGAGCTGCTGGGAGCACGGGGACTTTGCAGGAAGGGGCAGGAAGAGGAAGTGACCTTCTGTGTGGGGGCACTCAGGTCCTGGGCCCCCATCTGTGGAGAAGCTGATATCGTCAGCTGGAGCAGTGGAAGGTACCCGAGACAGATTCCTATGCACCGCCGGCCTTCTGGGTCCTAGAAGTGTGCCCTTTGTGGGGTGATGCTCGTCCCTGCCAGCCTAGGGAGTCGCTCTCCTCCTCCAGGTCTGTGCAGCTCCCCTCCCTGGACCCCCACCCCCGCCCAGACCAAGCTGAGAACAGCAGGAGCTGGGCCGGTCTTGGCATGCACGGCGTGTGGGACCTCAGGATCCCTGCAGCCCACAGGGCCCCGAGGGCTGCTGAAGCCTGGCCGGCACGGAGCAAAGGCTGCCCTCCTTCAGAGGGCAAGAGGAGGAAGGGCGTGACATGTGGGGACACATCCGTGTGCCAGACAAGTGCTGAGGACTTTATATGCCTTGACCCACCAGATCTTCTCTTGCCCCGTTTTGTGGTCACAGCCCCTAAAGGATGCCCCGCCTTTGCCGCCGACAGTCTGTTCTCAGCACAGCAGCCAGCTGAGCCTTTTGCCATGTGAGTCAGATCAGGTCGCTCCTGCTAAAAACCCTCTAGTAGCTGTCTCTCTTACTCAGAGAAAAACCAGCCTCTGTCAACTAGCAGTATGACTTTCAGCCACTCATGTCACCTTTCTGCTTCATTTCTGCCCTTAAAAAATGCAGACAGCACCTGCCTCACAGGATAATTGTGAGTGTTAAATGCATTAACTGCTTGGAATAAGGCATGGGTTGGGGTAAGTGCTAACTAAACATTAGCTTTATCATTACTATTATTACAGGATCCCACAGGGCCTTCCACAGCCTGGCCCAGCTGCTTTCTGCCTGGTTCCCTCTGCCACAGCCACCAGAGCCAGTCACATTTCCCACCCTAGGGCCTTTGCACCTGCACCTCCTCTGCCTGGAACACCTTCCGTCTCCTCAAATTGTCGACTTCTTAATCAGACTGTCCATGGCCACCCTGTTTAACATCAAAATCTCCCCACCTGCCCCTCACCCATCACTCACCTACCATGGCATTGATCAGCCTCTGGTAAATGGTGTTCATTTACCATCCACCTCCCCAGTACACAGGTTCACTTGAGTGTAAGCTCTGTGAGGATAGCATTTGTGTCTCCTGTCCACACTCTGTCCTCAGCACCTAGAACGTGATCTGGCACAGACCAGAAGGGCAGCAATTATTTGTGGAGTCAGTGAATGGATTCTCACAGCAGCCCCCAGAGACAGATATTTGCACCCCCATTTTATAGAGGGGCTTGGCAAGGGAGGCTCAGCCAGGCTGGGAGCTCGCGTGAGGCTGTGTCTTGAGGCAGGGGTTGTTTGACCCCAGAGTCAATGGCAGACTCCCCCCACCCCTAGGCCCGGGCACAGTGCTTTGCCCTGAATGGGGAGGGGCCTCCAGAGGTGTCAGGAAGGCAAGGAGGGGTTTGTCTGAGTCAGCTCAGGCTCCCATGACAAAGCGCCACAAACCGGGTGGCTTAAACAGTGGAAATTCATTCCTCACTGTTCTGGAGGCTGGCAGTCTGAGATCAGGGTGCCGGTGTGGTCAGGTTCTGGCAAGGGCTCTCGGCCTGGTTTGCAGACAGCTGCCTTCTCCTTGTGTCCTCACATGGCAGAGAGAGAGAGCACGAGAGAGTGAGAGAGAGAGCGCGAGAGAGTGCTTCCTCTTCTTACAAGGCCATAGTCCTATTGGGTTAGGGCCCCATTCTTTTGACCTCATTTAACCTTATAATTATTTCCTAAAGATCCTATCTCCAGACACAGTTACATGGGGGGGTTAAGGCTTCAACATATGAATTTGGGGGACACAGTTCAGTCCATAGCAGATCTCAGAAACCACTGGAAGAGGAGGAGGAGGCCCGGGAGGCAGCCCGTCTCACAGTTTCCTGGGGTGATGCGTCGTACTCAGACCACGGGGCCGCACTGCTCACCCTGTCCTTGGTGCTCTGCAAACTGGCGGAGGGATGAGCACAATCTCATTTCAGCCTCCCAATGACCCCGTGAAGTCGGTGCTATCACCCCCATTCTACAGACAAATAAACCGAGGCTCAGAGAGGTGAGCTTACTTGCCCATGGCCCCCCAGCTGGGTTATGGTGGGCCTCTCTGATGCCAAAGCTTGTGCTCTCAACTACTCTGTGATGGTCCCTTGAAACAGGTAGGGGACATCTCCCTCGCCCACAGGACTAAGGGGTTGTTCCCCCCCACCCCCCAGGAGCCTAGGAGCCCTTTGGGACAAGACAAGCCCATGGGCTGTGGCAGTGACACTAAGTGCCGAGTGCATGGCCCAGTCAACAAGTGCAGGAGGGGCTCAGAGGGCAGTGTATGCTGGGCTGGTCACCATGCGAGAAGGGTTCAGGCAGATGAGGAGCGAGGAGCAGGGCCTTCCAGGGAGAACTAGACCATCTCCTTTGCAGGATCCTGGAAACGTGGTGAGGTGGGAGGCAGGGAGCTCAGTGTTCACCAGGAGCGGAGAGGCTGGAGGACAGAGGTGGCAGGAAAGCTGAGAAGGTGGACAGAGGTCAAGTGCCAGGGGCCCAGACTGTCCCCACAGTTCTGTAGAAGGTGGTATTCATGTGCTCTTCCTCCATGGGGGGCAGAAAGGCCTGTGGGAAGAGGTGGCATTAGCAGGAAGTCACCTGTGAGGTCCACCGCTCCATTCCGTACCTGGGCCGAGAGGGTGGGTGCAAATGAAGAGTGCGGGTTGGCATGGGGCTCACACCAAACACAAAGCTGAGCTTCACTTTCTTGGGGAGAGAGCACTGCAGCAGTCGCTGGGACCCTCCCCGCGGCAGCTGTGGCCTCAGGAAATGTCACATGGCTTGTGGAACTTTCAGAGATTCACTGACTTTGTGATGCCCACCAACAACTTTTCAAGCCCCTTACAAGAGGCCACATCTAACCAATGGCGTGCTGGTAAATGGTTAACAACCGGCTCCCTTGGTGAGGAGGGGAGCAGTGTTTTGCAGCCTTTGATGCTTTTCATGGTGTAAATACTCCCACTACGACTGATCAAGTTACCAACACGAGGTCACTGAATACAGAGCAGAGGAGAGAGTCACACTGTGGGCTCCTGTGAGCCCATCTGAGTCAGCTCCAGCGCACCACTGCTTCCACTCCCCCAGTCCCATCGCTATGACAGTGGCATTAGCAGGGCACTGGGAGGAAGGAGCCAGCCACCCTGGGTGTCCCTGAGCCTTGGGGCTTTGAGGCCCAATTGGCTCTTCCCCTGGAGATGCACCCGGTGTCATATCCTAGTCAGCTCCAATCATTAGTCCTGTGAGGGTCCCCAGGGTGGGTCCAGGTGTTCCACATGTTGGCATCAAGGCTTTCGTCTCCCCAACAGAAAGTACCAATGTCCCAGAAATCCTAAGTTAGACCTGAGTCCCAGAAGGAGGCTGGGGGCAGTCTGAGACAAAAGGGAATGCAGGTGTCACATGCAGGCTGCAGGCCCGGCCTCACCAGCCTGGTACCCAAATATCACTCAGTTACTAGCCTTTGTGATTACTTGTCAGAAGTCCCATCTTGGAATCTCATGTCTTCTTTCCCTGCTTCCATGCCTCCTGGCGTAGACTTTAATGGACTGGAGATAATGGCTCGAGGGGCTGAAGACACCTGTGGGGAAGGACCACAGATGCCCTTTTTGGCCGAGGGTGGCAGTTCAGGGCAATGGAGGCAGCCAGACCTGGAAGCCACTTGTGGGCCTCCCACTTCAGCTGCCCACTCATGCGAGGGTTGGGCTGCCTGGCAGCTGGCCAGCTGAGGCCTTTGCCCAGATGTGGCATGTGTGTTGGTGAGGAGTCTGAGCTGGCATCCCCTTGGGCTCCCCAGTGAGTGCAGGGCCCCCCCAGGTCCTCTTGTTGCCCTGAGAAGCCTAACCCTTCTCTCCTGGTTGCCCTCCTTCCCCACCACCTGCTGTAGGTTTTTCATCATCAAAGAGAGCTTTCTTCTTTACTACTCTGAGAGTGAAAAAAAGAGCTTTGAAACCAATAAATACTTCAATATACATCCTAAGGTGAGGCGACCTCTCCCGGGGCCACAGTGGGGAAGGGCCTAGTGGGGACAAGGGGGATGGTATCCTGTGAGGGCAGGGGGCCGTCTCTTATTGCTCTGGTCTAGAAGGGCATCTGGAGAACAAGTCCCTCTTGGGGCACAAGACCCCCTGCCCCTCTGGGCTGGGCGCCCATCCTCCTGGGCCGCAGGTCCTGCCCCAGCCCTGCCTCTCCCCTCTGGGAGTCCGTTCTGGCCTGGCTTACAGCCTGGGGCCCTTGGCAGGACGTGGCTTTGGCTGAGGGCTCCCAGAGGCCTTCAGTAACCTGGGCTGGGTTGGGTGGGGGCTGCCCATTCTGATTCTTTCTTAGGGTGTCATCCCTCTGGGGGGCTGCCTGGTGGAGGCCAAAGAAGAGCCCAGCATGCCCTATGCCATGAAAATCTCCCACCAGGACTTCCACGTGAGTAAGCCTCTCCCCTCAGCCTGGGCTCAGCAGGGGCAGACTAGCTTCTCTGGGACACCCAGGTCCCTGGGGGCAACCCCTCCAGTGGCCTGGCCTGGGAGGGGTGTCAGTGCTTTAGGGATGTGGGGTGGGAGAGCAAAGCTGGGCCTGCAGAGGCCTGGGACAGCCTCTGTCATCCTTGAAGTGGCCTCCCCTCAGGTACACCCGTGCCTCCTCTTCCTGGCAGGGGAACATCTTGCTGGCTGCTGAGTCGGAGTTCGAGCAGACCCAGTGGCTGGAGATGCTGCAGGAGTCTGGGAAGGTGTAAGTGCCCACAGGCAGGAGGGGCAGCCTGCGGGTCCAGAGGGGAACGGAGTGTGGGCTGGGCCAACCCTGCTCTCCCTGCCCCTCTGCTGGAAGCCCGGTGGGCACTGAGGACTCCAAGAAAAGGTGGGGGCGGGGGTGGGGGGAGTCGGTTAGGGTGGGCAAGAGGAGATAGGCCAGGTTTAGAGCATCTGTGGGGGGTCTCCTAAGTGAGCTTCGCTTGCCTAGGGTCACAGGTGGCAGACGTCGACACCATTTGTCTCCAACTTGTGGGAGTGAATCCAGCATCACTAGTAGGATTTGGCTGCCTGATGACACCCGTCTCACCTCCCCAGGCCCATAATTAATCCCAGCACAGACCAGAGTAGTGCTTTGTAAGTCAGGGTCCCGATCACAGACACCTCCAGCCCGACACAGTCCTGCACGTAAACCCCTGGCCCTGCGCCTGCCTATTCAAGCTGGGTTGTGCTTATAGTTCAACAAATAACACTGAATGCGTGACCCAAGCCAGGCCTTGTGCCAGGTGGTGGGCATTCGGTGGTGTAGAAAGCAGCCCGGGAAGCAGTCTCTTCGCTGCTCCAAAAGCGCTGTGGGCCCAGCCCACGGTGGCCCACTTTGTGGCCAGAGCTGGCCTCCAGGGGCTGTAACTGAGCGATGCTGGTGGGGTGCCCGGAGCCATGGGTGCCAGAGCGAGTGCAAGCTGGGATTCTGGAGGAGAAAGGATGGCGAGTACCAAACATGCACCTTCTTTCTCCTCTGCCCTTCTGTTTTAACGATTTTGTGTTTCTTCCTCTTCTCTCCTCTTCCCATCTGCCCTCCCTCCGCAGGACCTGGAAGAACGCCCAGCTGGGAGAAGCCATGATCAAAAGCCTGGAGGCCCAGGGGCTGCAGTTGGCCAAGGAGAAGCAGGAGTACTTAGGTTGGCAGGAGAGATGGGCTGGAGGCTGAGATTCCCTGAGGGTAGCATGGCAGGCCAGGGGCTTGTTGGAGCACGGGTGGGGGTGTCTCGGGTTGGGCTTACCAGGCTACGAGAGCCAGACACCAGCTTGGAGCCCGGAGGGCTTTGTGGTATGATAAATGTCCTTTGGGCCAGTGCGACCTGCGGCAGGAGAGCCTGGTTGTTAGCAGCCTGGGCTCTGACCCAGCTTTGCCACTTCCCTGTCGGCTGCCTATGTCTTCTCCCAGCTGGGCATCTCTAAGCCTCAATTTCTTCATCCTTAAAATGGAGCCAAAACTAGTCCCTGCTTTTAGAGGTGGTGTGGGACCAGGTTAAATGAGACAATGCATGTCAGCACTGGTGTCAGACATGCAGTAAGGGTTCCTTAGATGGAGTTGATCTTGTTGTCCTGCCCTGAGCCCCCAGATTTTGGACTTGCCCCCAGCTACCACCCCCAGTCCACTTTAAACCTGACCACAAGGTTCCAGGCCCCTGGACCCCTGACTGGCCGGGAAATGTGCTGTGTGGGAAAGAAGAAGGGGAGTCTGGGGGTCTGTTGTTTTGCCAGGACCCTCTCCCTGCTGCCTCCTTAGACACTCGGGGACCCACAACTGTTTCCCCTCTACCTGCTCCAGACACCTTGCTCCCCCCAGGACCTGCCCCCTGCTACACTAGCCAGACCAGTGCAGAGGCTACCAGCACCCCTGGGTGGTGCAGAGATGCACTTGAGCTCCCAAGGGTGAGGCTGTCTTTGCCTTGTGAATGCACAAAGCAGGGACAGGGCTGGAAAAGGAGAGTGGCAGCTCAGGCCAGCATGGCAGCTTCCATCCCCAGGAAGCCCGGGGATGGCCTGGGCCTGGCAGTGCTGACCTCTTCCTTGGGAGATGCTGAGGGTGACAGCAGTTACCGCGGCACCAACCCCCTCAGGACTGGATCTGGAGAGAGCTTTTCGTGAGAGAGTGTGTGTGTGCTCGCTTTGGCAGACAAACTGATGGAAGAGACCGAAGAACTCTGCCTTCAGAGGGAGCAGAGAGAGGTAGGTGCCACTGGGGCCGCTCAGAATTGCTGTCCCCCAGCCCCGCGCTGTGGGCCCCTTCACAGCCAGGGTGCACTGGCTTGTGTTTCTGGCATTAGGGAATGATGTAGGAAAGCCGGGCACCCAGAGAATGTGCTGGAAAATCAGATGGGCTGAGCATGCAGGCCAATGAGGTGATAGTACTTAGGACTTGCTGTAGCTTCTTGGCAAGAAGTGTATTTCTCCTTGCCAGTCCCTGGGGGGGAAAGTAAAAGGGGTAGGTGACCACTTTCTAGAGAGCGAGCCATCCAAAAATCTTAGAAGCTGTGTCAGTAGGCAATGAGCTGCTTGCCGCTGGTGAAGTTCACAGGAGGCTGTGATGGCCTCTATTATCCCCAGAGGGGCTTCTGATCCATAAGGGTGATGGGGTTGGATGATCTCCAGGGTTCATTTATTCTCTAAATACCAATAATACAAGTCCCAAGGGGGCCGAGCTTTGGCCTGAGGCAGCCCGTGGGGTAAAGGAGACCGTGCCTCATTTGAGGGTGGGGAGCCTCTGCAGTCTACTTCATTTGGAATCTCCATGCAGCATTTGCACCTTGCCTGTTGTGAGTCATTACCTCCCCTGAAGGGCAGGGTAGGGTAGGGGTTAGTGGTATGGACTCTGGAGCCAGGTTGCCTGTTTGTATTGGAGCATCACTACTTCTAGCTGTGTGACATTGGGCAAGTTACGTAACCTCTCTGAACATCAATAGTCTCACATGAACAAAGAGGATAAGAATAGAACCCATCTTGTTAGGGATATTGTGAGGATTAAATGAGATGTTACATAGAAAGTGCTTGGCACACAGCACGTGATTAATGAGTATCTGCATTTGTTAGTATTACCATCATGTTATTGATTATGGACCCATCCTGCCTGTGAACTGCCTGAGGCCCAAAGCTGCAGAGTGGCTTGCCCAGAGGTGCCCTCAGAGGGAGGCCCCTTCTCTCTGCCCAGTTGCTTTTCCTTGTCCTCTCCCCCGTGAGGCGCAGGCCTGGCCCATCAGCCTTGCCTCAGCCAGCCTCTCCCACTTGGCTCTTGCTAGTTCCTCACCCTCCCAACCGCCCTCTCAGGGCTCTGAAACAGGCCCTCCAGTCAAAAAGCGGCGTGTGCCCGTAGTACCCCACATTCCCAGTGCCTGGCCCAGAAGGAGTGCTTGATAAACGTTTGTGGAAGGACTCAAGGAGTGAACATTTTTTTTTAAAGATTGACCCTGAGCTAACATCTGTTGCCAGTCGTTTGTTTGTTCTCCCCAAAGCCCCCCAGTACATAGCTGTAGATTCTAGTTGTAGGTCTTTGTGGCTGTGCTGTGTGGGGTGCCGCCTCAGCGTGGCCTGACGAGCAGAATTGGAACCGGTGAAACCCCCGGCCTCCAAAGTGGACCACACGAACTTAACCACTTGGCCATAGGGCTGGACCCGAACGAACATTTTTGATTCTTGTAATTTTATATCCCATTTTGATTTTAATCCAATAGGACAATCCACCCTCATTTTTCTTCTCCCAAAATGTTATCAGATATTCTTGCCCATTTATTCTTCCAGCTGGACTTCAGAATCATTTTGTCAATTAACAACAACAAAAATCCCAAACCAAAACAAACAGAAAACAAAACCCAAAACCTATTGAGGGTTTGCATTAGGATTGCATGGATTTGAGGATTTGCATGATGCCAGCTCTGAGCCGTCTTCCACCCAGCCGTGTAGGGCCCCCGTGACTCCAGGCTAGAATTCTAGGTCCCACGGTAGAGTTTTGGCATTTTCTTCGTATGGTTCTGTACATTTTGAGAAGTGAGACTTCTGGTGGGTTGTCAGCAACTTAAAGACGGATAATTCAGGAAGCCAGGGGATGGCATGGAGTGACAGACACCGCCACAGGCAGGGAGAGAGACAGACTTATCCATCAGAGAGGCTAAATCTGGGGCAGCAGTCAGCTGGAGGAAAATTTAGACACTCTATCTAGGTCTTTAGCCAGGAAATGAGGACAGAGGAGACCTCGCTTAAAGCCGTAGCACGTTGAAGGGGCAGTCCTGTCAGCTGTGAACTCCCTGGTTTTTTTGGTACGAGATGTGAGAGAGAGACTCACTCGGGCCCGGTTGGTACCAGCGGCGAAGGCTGCTCTGGGCAGGCAGGAGGGAGAGGATGGTGCCCGGGTTCACATTCCTGTGTCAGCTGCCTGCTCTAGATCAGGAAGAGAACTCACTGAGTCATTCTGTCCAGGTTTCTCCTTCCTTAACTTGCTCATCCATAGTATGGGTCTGTATGTTCCCTGCGCCTTTTCCCTCTTCACCCCAGGTCACAGATATTGTCTGGGTGTGCCTTGGGCCACTTGGAAAGGCACTTGCTGCAATGGCCCAGCAATAAGATGAAGATTCTCTGCTCCCTAAGAGGCAGCCTGGCCTAAAGGAAGACTCGGGGTCTGGGACCCAGAGACCCACACTGGAGTCTAATCACTGATGTGTGGCCTTGGGCGAGTTAACCTCTTGAGCTTCAGCTTCTCCATCTGTGATGCTCTGATAACAGTACCGGCTGTGCCTGCTGAGCACCTGGGTCACTGTGAGGCTCACTGAAATAGAATGCAGGGGAGTGTTTGTGGATGGGCAAGGCCCATGCAGATATGCACTCTGGGAGGGTGCAGCCCTGACGTCCTCCATATGGCAGAAAGGGCCTGGGACTCCTAGGGCACAAGCAGAGTTCAGGGAGAGCCACCCTGGGTTCATTTGCCTGGTGCCAGCAGACCCTTCCTGTCCTTGGGTGCAGCTCCCTCAGGTATACCTGGCTCCCTGGGGCCTCAGCTCTCTCATGCCCTGAAGGAGGACAGCCTGCCTTCCTTTCCCTTTCTGGCTGAATTGTGACAGCTCAGCCTTGCATGTGGCCAGGCACTTGGGAAATCAGAAACGCCCAGGGCCAGCCAGCCAGGACCCTTGCCACCTAGGGTGCTCCTGGTCAGAACACAGATGCCTGGAGTTGGAAAGCACCTTCCTCTTAGAGGTGAGGCTCTTTGCTGACCTCTCTGACAGACGTTGATCCTGATTCTGGGATAGGCACTCACTCCCTCCAGAGGTATCCTATGCGTTACTGCTCCATTATTTGAAAGCCCTTTTGTTGAGCTGGAATTTGCCTTCTAGTGACTTCTTTCCAACCTTATACTCCCGCAATGGTCCAAGAGTCAGAAGGACCAGCGCCTATGGCGGAGAAAGGCTTCAGCTGCAGCAGGTCTGGGCTGACCTCGGTCTGTGGCGGGGTTGCTAACAAACGCTTATACCACCCTGGGCTGGAGGAACAGAAGGTTCTAGCTGCTCCAGCTTTATGGGTTGTGGATTCCACTCTAATGCATACTCTCAGGCTGCACCTGGACATCAGCCTATTTAAGAGTCACACAGGTGAAATGAAAGGAGGAAAAGAAGTGAGCAACGAGGAGAGAGAGTCTCTTTCTTTTTCCTCTAATATATAACCTTTTTACTAATGGAAGAAATCATGCTCTTTGTAGAAAACCTAGAAACCAAACTTTGTCCTTAATTCCACAATTGACGGACAACTACTGTCAACTATGTGGTGTTTTTCTTTTCAGTCTTTAAAAAATATGTATTATTCTTATATATATTATAAACCTAATAGGATTGTATCAGATATCCAGTTTTACAGCCTTTTTTATTATACCTTCATTAACATTGTACCTTCAGCAATTTTCCATGTCATTCAATGTTCTTCGAAAACATCAGTTTTAATGACCATGTACTGATTCATCATATGTGATGTTTCCTTTAACTAATTTTCTATTTTTGGACATCTAGGCTGTTTTCATTATTATAAATTATGCCACAGTGAATGTCCTCGTACATAAATCTTGGGCTACATAAATCTTGGGCTACTTTTCTAATTTTTTCTGTAGGATAGATTCCTGTACACAGAATTACTGACTCAAAGGTCAAGAACTTTTAAGACTCCTGATGCCTATTGCCAAATTGCTTTCCAGAAAGTTCCTACCTGTTTACACTCCCACCAGCAGCGTATGGACATTTCCAGGGGTTTAGTCATTTACTTTCTCCCATTTTCAATTGCAAAAATATAATCCCAGTGGAACAGCAAGCAAAGGGAAATATTTGCAAGTTGGAGTGTTGGAGAAAGGGGCTCTCCAGGGTGGAGAAGCCAAGGTTGTGGGATGGTGTCCTCGAGTGGGTCTTGAGTGATCTGTTCTGAAGCAGCGGAAGCCAGGTGCCTAAAGAGCCAGGTGCCCTTGTGATTTTTCACATCTAAGCCCAGGGGTGGCTGCAGCTCCTAATTCCCCAGTCCCCTGAACAGCCCTGCCACAGCAGGCAGAGGCCACCAGAGGGAGGAAATAAGTCAGGTTTCTCAAATCTGAGGCCACAGAGAGGTTTATCATCATCAGCAATACCGTATGTTGAGAATGTATTAAAATAGAGGTTTTCAAACTTTTTGAAGCTCTGAACTTTTCTTTCATTAAGAAGGGGGAGGTCTACCAGAATACAATTTTAATTATATTTATATTATGTCTACATACTGCTATGTCTACTGCAATAACACACAACCCCAAAGTACTAGTGACTTTGAACAGCAAAGGTCTATTTGTCCCTTAGCTACATAGGTCAGCTGGGGGCTCTGCTCCATGTCTCCTTCCTCAGAGATCAGGCTGACATGGCCTCCACTGTTCGCAGCAACACGGGCTGCCATGGTAGGGGAAAGGGATGTAACATGTCACTCCCTGTCTGTTAAAGATGTGTGCCTGGAAGTGACACCCTTCTGCTCACAATCCATTGGCCTTAGCCAGTCCCATGGGCCCACCCAGCTTTCGCAGGTACACCGTGTGCCAGGAGGTGCATCAGAATGCCAACAGTGCTAGTGGCGACCGTTAGTGAGCCACGCCACAAGTGCCAATAAGGATTAGAAGGAAAAGAGATAGCAGCTTTGGGGGTAAGAAGTTTAGGGATGGAGGGTGTGGGGTTTGAAACCAGACTCTCGTTTCCTTTGGGTTTCATCCCTTCTCTGTGTCACCTCAAAGCCAGTGGCAACTTCTCCCTACAGGCAGCCCCGCTCCCTGGCAGGGTTTCCATTATCCTTGAGAACAAAGCCCCTGGGTGAAAAACGAGAGTGTAATTTGGAGCTAGAAGATGAGAAAGAAAGTGGATCTAGAAATAATATCCTCCCCCAGTATAAAATGTGGAGGGACAAAGCAGTTGTCACCAAAAAGCTTCTAGCCAAGCTTCACTTGAAGAGTACCCCCAACACCAGCTGCCACTGAACCCAAACAGGAGCCCTGGAGGTCACATACCTGCCGGGAAAACATTTGTGCTTGCCAGCATTCCTGAAGGGACTGATCTGGTCCCCTGGGCCAGCCCGTCCTGGCTTTTCTGGATCTCCTGTTCCCTTGGGGCCAAGCCCAGGGGAAGCTACAGCCAGTGGTTCTTTGCTTCCCAGATGCCTTAAGAACAAAGAGTCCTCCCTGACTTTGGGGTTGGGAATGGTTTTTCTTTGCCACTTCTAACAGATGTCACTCCAGGGCTCTTTAATGGAAATACACACGCACCACTTTTTCCCCCAGGGCTTGAGGGCCAGCCAACACGCCTTAGGGTATGAGGGACTGGAGTCACCCAGCGGAGTAGACATTCAGAATTATCATCACATCCAGCTGAAGGAAATAATAGGATCAATTCTAAGTCTTGGCTTCAGCCTGATAAGTGTATTTTAAATGAGCCCAGTTCATCACAGACTTCAGTTTTGTTGAGATTGTGTGTCATTGGGGCCAGGGCTCCTCAGGATTTAATTCCAAGTCTGGTCCAGCGTGTGCTCCAGACGATCCCAGAGGATCCCCTGGGTTGGAGTGGGAGTTCCTGACCTCAGGGACCCTCTGCTGCCTTTGACTCTTGTCTTCCTCTCTGATTCTCTTCAGGAGCTTGAGCGCCTTAACCAGGTGCTGGAGGCTGAGAAGCAGCAGTTCGAGGAGGTCGTGCAGGAGCTGAGAGTGGAGCAGGAGCAGATCAAGAGGTGGTGGTGGTGCCCCGGGAGGGGAGTGTGAGAAAGGTCACCTAGTTAGGGCAGTAGCATCCACAGTCCGGGTCAGGTCTGGAGAGGCCTCTGCCCGGGAGATGTTCACTGCTTGAAGACTTGGTTTGGGTCTATCTTCCCAATGCTCCAGGCCTTGGGGTCTGCCCAGAAAAATCTGTAGACCCCACACAAATGGGCCACTTCTGCCCACTGGAGCACAAGGCATGGCAGGTGCAGCCAGACATCCCCCCAAGCAGCAAGCACCTCGTGCCTCCATCAAACCTTCCTTACCTGGGCAGACAGGACCCAGCTGCTCGGCAGGTGCCGCTAGCCAAGCCCCCAACATTCCCTGTCTTTCCTGCACAGGCTCTTCCCACTCTGGCTAATGATGTCCCTTGGGACCTTTGGTCCCATGTATGGTTTGCAAACCCAGTTGCACATTATATTCATCTAACAGAATTAAAATCTCCTGAAGGTAGGGCCCAGAAATCTATATTTTAAAAAGTTCTGGGGCCGGCCGTGTGGCCGGGTAGTTAGGTTCATGCACTGCACTTCAGAGGCCCAGGGTTTTGCTGGTTCAGATCCTGGGTGTGGACCTAGCATTGCTTGTCAGACCATGCTCAGGCGGCATCCCACATAGCAGAGCCAGAAGGACCTACAACTAGAATATACAACTAGGTACTGGGGGGCTTTGGGGAGAAGAAGAAGAAGAAAAAAAAGATTGGCAACAGATGTCAGCTCAGGTGCCAATCTTTAAGAAAAAAAAAAAGCATCCCTGGACATTCTGATACAGCCTATCCGGGAATTTGGAGACCACCGCTCTGTGTACTGCTGGTAGTGGTGGTTGTCATCGTCATCATCATCATCGTCATCACTACTGATCACTAGTGATGGCCCAGAAAGAGTTTTCTTGCAAGAAACTTATAGAAGGAAGTCATTAGACACGTGTTTTGGGGGAGGGGAAGCTCAGTGGATCTTACCAAGTAAATAGCCAAGCTCCTGCTCACTTCCAGAATTGTGCCAGAGACTGGAATAGAAGATAAGCCCTCCCCTTTAGGATCTGGTGAGGAAAACCGGACTCACACCCAGGAAACATCAACACAGTAACATATAATCACATGCTAGGAGACATAGTGCAGACTCCCTGTGTTACAGGAGTTAAGATATATGCGTGATCCTTGTGGGCTTGAACAGAGGCTATCTTGAGCTGGGCCTTGAAGGATAGGTAGGAGTTGGAAGAAATGGCAGGAGAAGGGAAAGGCAGGAGGAGGGGAAACCGAGTGTAAAGTCCTGAGGTGGCCCAGGTTTGGTGAGAATGCAGCATGGAGGCTGTCAGCCCAGAGAAGGACCTCAGCTGTGGCCTTCGTCAGTGAGTGTGGGTTCTAGCAGGGGCTGTCCAGGGAAGATGGGGCGAGGCCTGGGCCCCTTTGTTTCTCAGTGCTTCTCTCTGCCTGGGGGGGGATCCTGGCTTTATCCCGACTGACAGATGCATGTGTGCCTGGAGCAAGTGACTTCAAACCCACTTGGCCGGGATCTCCTTCTGTCAGCCCCAGGCCCTTAGAGCTGCTGTCAGGACCCAGCCATGTGGTGGGGCTGGGCTTCTTTGGACCCCTCTGAGCCAGATCAGGAGGTGAAGCAGAAGATATTCTGTGTTCAAAGGGGACTGAGAGGGGTGGGCACTGCCATACCCAACCCTCTGTCCCCACAGGGAGCTGGAACTAACTGCAAGATGCCTCAAGGGTGTAGAGCAAGAGAAAAAGGAGCTGAGGCACCTCACAGAGTCCTTGCAGCAGACGCTGGAGGTGAGGGGCTGCTGGCGGGCTGGTCGGCGGGGGCACTGGTTGGTTGGGGCACGTGACACTTTTTTCCAGCAGTGTTTCCCCAGAAGGTTACCTGAAGGGGAACGAGACACCAAGGGGCACTGATCTGAAGGGTCTCTTCTCTGTGGACCGTTGGGAATTCCAGCCGACACATGAGGGACCCAGAAGGGCAAATTCAAGTTTTGGCCTCAGGAAACCCACCTTCTTCAGTGCTTATATTTTTATACCAGATAGAAGACTGACTGGGGGAGTCAGGGCCACCTACCACGTCCTTCCTGTGGCTCATTCACTTAGCTGCGTGTGGTTGAAACTGAGCATGAGGGGAAATCAATTCCAGGTCACCTCCATTTGAAACCACCCAGACTGCGAGGGGGAGGAGGAGGTGGCGTGTGTCCAGGACACAGTGCAAACTCCTTAGTATGGCAGGCAAGGGCAAACTCGGGCCCCAGCCTCTCCTCTCCTCGCACCCTCTCACCCTCTGCTGCCCCTCTGTCCTGACACAGACACCCAACCCCTCCTCCAACCGCAGAGCTCACAGGCCGAGGGAGCCAAGCTCTTTCTCCTCCGCGCCTTTACCCACGCTGTTCCTTCTCCACAGAATGTCCTTCCTCCTCTTCTCTGCCTGGAGAACTTCCATCCTTTTGAGACAGCTCGAGCATCACCTTGGTCAAGCTTCCCTGACTCTTCTAGGCAGGATTTGCTCTGAGCCCTGGGCTCCCGTGGCACTTTCTATGTATGTTTGGCACTTAACACACTAGGTTGTGGTTTCCACACTGGACTTCACTAAACTGTCTTAAGGTCTCTCCCAGCCCAGCACGTATAGCCAGCCCGGCACGTCGTGGGGGATGAGTGATGCTTACTGAATTCATGAGCTGCCTTGCAAACTGCAAGGGTCTCTCTTCTCCCTCGACTGACTGGCGCTTTGTTCCTGGTGCCTTTATTTGTTTATTTTTTTCCTGTCTCACATCATGGGAGGTGGTTCTCATGGATAGTTGCAACTCCAGGGCTTCTGGGTAGTGCAAGATCCCAGTCTGATAAGTGGGGAGAATGTCTGAATCTGCTCTCGGGCTGCTTCCTGTTGGGTGCTTTTCACACAAGCCCAACACACTCCCTCACTCACCCCTGGAGGAACAAGGACCCCAGAAGGTCATGGTGCCCTGGGCCCTTGGGCTCCGGTTGTGATATGTACCACCTCCACTGGAAGCTGCGCTGGGCTCCTCCCTGACTCCCTCGATGGAGGAGTAACCTTGCCTCCTTGTGAGGAAGGAGACCTTAGTCGGCCTTTTACCTCAAGGGAAGAATGCAGACATTTCAGGTGTCCCTCATAGAGAACTGGGAGAGGAGGGCATCATTTTCTAGAACTGAAAGGAAGTGAGGGCAGCCATGGTGAAGTAATTAGGCGTTTTCTTCCTTCTCTCCGTTCTTTCCCTCTCTCTATGCCAGGAGCTCTCCATAGAGAAGAAGAAAACTCTGGAAATGCTGGAGGAGAATGAGAACCAGCTGCAGACACTGGCCAATCAGAACGAGCAGCCCCCTCCCAGGGGGGGTCTCCATAGCAACCTGAAGCAGATCGAGGAGAAGATGCAGCAGCTCTTGGAGGAGAAGCTGCTGGCAGAGAAGCGGTGAGGTTGCCTGGGACCTGAGTCCATGATCGGCTTTGGGGTTTGGTCACTTTCCTTGAACTGGCCTCTTGGGTTTGAGTTGGCATTGACCAGATAGGTCACTCACTTCCTTTTGCCTAGGATTCAGTTTCCTCACTAGGCAAACGGGAAGAGAACTTTCACTACCCAAAGCTGACTTGATAATCCTCTCTTGCAATGGTGTGAGCCATACAGACATTGGGTCCATCTAACAATGCCTTTTGGCACACGGGCAGGTCCTCTTAGCCCCTCTTTACACACAAGGAAACTGAGCCTTGCATGGGTTTCAGGGCTTTCCTGCAGTCACAGGACTAGCAAGATCTGAGCCCAGGAGTCTGGTCTTCTGACTGCAACCTTGGGGCTCCCCTCACTGGCCACACCACCCCTCTCATCACCTGGATGCCAGGACCCAGGAAGTTCCGGGGCTCCTGAAGCCTTGTCTCAGATTTCTCCAGCCAGGTCTCTACGAGGGGCTGCGCTCCCACTGGAAATCCCCTCACTGAGTGAGGGCCTCTTCTGCCCGGGCAGGATGAAGGAGAACGAGGAGCGCTCGCGGGCCCTGGAGGAGGAGCGTGAGTTCTACTCCAGCCAGTCCCAGGCGCTGCAGAACTCGCTGCAGGAGCTGACGGCGCAGAAGCAGCAGGCCGAGCGGGAGCTCAAGGTGCTGGCTCCTGGAAGCAGCTTGTGCTCAGGGACCTCCCCTCACCTGGAGTCGTCCCTCACATCCCTGCACTTTCCTGGGCAGCTACCTGAATTATCTCTGCCAATCCGACCAGCCAGGTGCAGGCGATGGAGCCACCACAAGGGGAAGCTCACTGCCTGCCACTTTGGTGGGGCATCATTGCTAGACACCTGCCCGGTGCAGGGGCAGCGTCCAGGCCATCTGGTTGAGGGCATAAGACACGAGGCGGGATGTGGTAACTTCCATCCAAGTCTAGAGGCCAGAAAGCCCGCTCGAGCCAGGGGTGACCAGGGAAGGTTTCCAGGGAAGATGGCAACTGCACCCCAGGACCCACGTCCCTGTCCTGTCCTCTCTCCTCAGGCTGAGGTAAAGGTCCGCATGGGCCTGGAGAGGCGTCTGCGGGAGGCAGAGGGCGCCTTGCGGAGCCTGGAACAAGGGCTCAGCTCCAAGGTGCGGAACAAGGAGAAGGAGGAGAGGATGCGGGCTGATGTGAGCCATCTGAAAAGTAAGCCCTGCCCTCTGTGCCTGGCCCTCAGCCCTGGAGCTCAGCCTTGCCGGGGTCCAGGCTCTGGAGCCCCACACAGGGCCTGGTGTGCAATAGGTGATCCGCCGAGATGGCGTTTCTTCTCCAGACTCCTGCCCGCAGGCATCTCCTTGGCGCGGCTTCCTTTTGGCTGTTGAGCTGGGGTGGGCGTGGCGGGGAAGCCTGTTGTTCTGCCCCCTTCAGCAGGCGGCTCTGCTCTCCCGAGGGATGGGCTCAGCTCTTTCCCACTCAACCCTACAAGCGTCCTTGGGAGGGGCAGGCACGAGGGGCTGGAGGGGAGGATGCAGTCAACCTTCGGCTGCAGGGTTCTTCGAGGAGTGCATCCGGAACGCGGAGCTGGAGGCCAAGATGCCTGTCATCATGAAGAACTCCGTGTACATCCACAAGGCCGCCACTCGTCGCATCAAGAGCTGCCGCTTCCACCGGCGCCGGTCCAGCACCTCCTGGAATGACAGTGAGTGGCTGTTCGCGTGCCCTGGGGGGTGGGGATGGTCACAGGCCATCGGTGACAAGGCAGGAAGAGGGCAGGGTGGGGAGTGGGAAGGGCTGGCCCAGCTCTGAGGCCCACAGCGCGGCCTTGAACCTGGCTCCACCAGCCTTGGGCTTCTCCCTGAGTTATGGGAGCCCATGGATGGGAAGGGGCTGGGAGAAGCTCAGCAGTATGTAGGATGGGGGAGCGAGGGAGGTGGGCTGGAGTTGGGGACAGGCCCACGCCTTAGTGGAGGGACGGCTGTTCATGGGCCAGTGGGGCCACTGTCTCCCCAGTGAAGCCGTCCCAGTCCTTCATGACCTCCCAGCTGGAAGCCAACAACATAGAGGAGCTGAAGGAGGTAGCCAAGCAGCTCAGCCGAGACCAGCGCTTCCGGGAATCCATCTACCATATCATGGCCACGCAGCCTGGACCAGCCTCAGTGCTTCCCCGGGGCGGGAAGTGAGGGGCTCTCCTCCCCTGCATCCAAAGTCTTTCCACCATGGGGGCCGGGGAGAGGCAGGCCTGACTCTTACCTGGCTCCTCTCCGCTCTCCTCTGGGCCAGAGTGCTGCCTGGGGGCCAGCCTCACCCTCAAAGGACAGGGAGGCCACCTCCCTCATCCCCACCCCAGACCCTACCCTTGGGTCTACACTGGGCCTGTGTCGGCCCAAGCTGGGTGCTGCCTGGTTGTCATGGTGAGGAGAGGAAGGGGCCTAGCTGTATGTGGGACTTTTTCTGGTTGGCAAGTGGGATGGGCAGGGTCCACGGCCCTCTGTGGAGCGGAGCCCACTGTACCTCTCTGTCACTCTGACACTGCCCATCCTCATGTGTGAAGGCCTCCCCTCCCCACCTTGACCCCTGCATCCCCTGGGGTTCCTAACCCTCTCTTTGCTTCAGAGACCCATGGACATCCCTCAGCCAAGGCCCCTCACCTTGACCACATCGTGGGGCAGGGAAGAAGGGAACTAGCACAGCAGCTTCTGGGCTCTCTGCACACCACACTCACCAGGGTACCACCTTTCCTGAGGTTGGGCCTTGGCGTGGGACCACCTGCTCACTCCCCTCCTCGGGTGAGCTCACCCACCTGCAGCCTCAGCACCCTATGGGGGTGGTGTGACCCCCCCCAACCCCGCATCCCTCCTGCATATGTACCTAGGGCCCTGGATGGGAGCTGGGGCCAGCAGCGATGCTGAGGGCTCTCCCAGAGGACACGTAGCAAGTCAGGGAGTGGACGAAGGTGCTCCTGGCTCCTGCATCATCCTCTGGTTAGGCAGCAAGGCAGCTCCCTTTGGCTATAGTGGCCCTGCTGGTCCGTGGGCTCACAGATGTCTCCCTCTCAGCTGCCCCTGCTTCCATTGCCTTGCTGCCCCCTCTCCCTGAAGAGGCTTTACCCAGGGAGGCAGTGTGACCATGAACCTGGAAGATGGGGGCCTGGACCTGTGACAAGACCAGAAGCCATTGGTTGGCTCCATGTCCTCAGGGGGAAGCTGAAACGCCTCTGTGCAGCTTGTGTGGAAGACCACCCTGTGGGAGGCTGAGGGCAAGGGGGTGTTCCCCACCTGTGAACAGACAGACAGCCCTGCTCTTCTCCCTTGAATTCCTCCCTCTGAAACTGCCTGAGTCTGTTTGTCTCCCCAGAAAAGGGGTCTACCTGGGATCAGGGTGCTCAGGGACACTGGTGGTATTAAAGGTGCTGATTCTCTGCTGCTTGGAAAGCTGAGCGAGGAGCCCAGTCTGAGAGCTAGACAGATGGCTGCAGGGCAAGTCCCAGCAGAGGCCCCTGGGGGCCTGCCGCCTGTTCTGCAGGAAGAGGAGTGTTGCTGACTTAAAGCATGTGCGTGTCTACTGCGGGGCCAGCTACCATGCAGGGCTGCCCGCCTGTGGGCTCAGGGCTGCCTGGTGACACTAATCTCCACGGTCCCTTCTCAGTGGTGGGTGAACTTTGCTGGCTTCAGCCAGTCTCCGCGGAGTCTAGGAGGGGCAAGGGGGGAGGCGCCTCAGAATCAATGCATCTGAGAGGGATGAATCTAAATCTAAAAGCTTTAAACATGTAGAAATCTGCATAAAGCCGGAACTCATTGATCTAATGTGTGTAGGATGGACTTTGAAATGAAGGGGAAGATTTATAAAACCAATTACTGTTTTATTTTTTGTTTCTTTTTAAAGAATTAGATTAATAATAGTTTGCTCTTGGAGAAAGATCTTTTGGAAATTTTCAAATGCATTTTTTTTTCCTGAGCAAGCTATTAACCAGAAAGGAAAGTGCTTTTCCATGTGCATTCACCAATCCCTGGTTCCTTTTCTCCTATTTCATCCTGTATTTTCCATGCCTCAGGCAAGTCGGGTTATCTTTAACCAGTTGACCAATCTGTAAGTATTTATTTGTTAAAAACTCACTATGTACACTGTAAATAGAAAAAAGCAACATCTCTATATAAAAATGAAGGGGTGGAAATTGCTTACTGGAAATATATTGATCTGATTTTTTTTTTTAAACAAAACCCTTGTTTCTTGGCCAATTAAATCTCTTTCCTGCAGTCTCGCTTGTGGTGTGGTCATTGCTAGAGAGATGTTGCCCTCTGCAGGCAAAACGTGGAATTACAGAATTGCCCGCCTGTTTTCTCACGTGCGCCTGCCTTTCTCTACACACCAGGAAGCGCTCCCCGCTGCTGCCCCTCCTGGGAGCGGCTTCTTAATAATTAACTGAAAAATCTGTTCTGGCCCTGAGGTCCTCGCTGTCCCCATGTGACAAGGACTATCAGCTGGATTTTCTTCTGATTTGAGCGCTGACCCAAGGGACAGAGCCGACTGGAATAGCCTCAGGGAGACAAAGGATGCCTGGTTTTATGGCCATTTAATGTCAGCATCCCCACCGGAAATTGACAGTTTGACCTGCCCTGATGAGGAGAGGTTTATGCTTTTGTTTCATAATCATAGAAGGGAGGGCGAGAAGTGGTAATGACTGGTTTCCCCTCCTATTTGGTTTGTTTGTTTCCTCATGGGATGGATGATCTATATCATGCCCAGGACTGTCCTGGTTTGTGCTGGTTCTCAGCAACATTATTAATGGCTCCCCCTTTTGCTGTCGTAAGTGTCCCAGTTTGGATGATAGTTCCGTGGTCATCCGGGTTGAAATGCTTTTCCCCAATGACATGCTAATGGATGAAGCACGAGATCTGTGAAACACTCGGGTTCTGACCCACTCCCAAGCTCCCAGCCCCTGGGAAGGAGCCACTGCCTGTATTTGTCTCTGGGGGATGTAATTCTTGCCCCCCACTCATCCTATCCCACCTGGCTCCGCATGCTAGACAGCAGGTGTCCGGGTGAAATTCAGAGTCCACAAGGAATGATGATGATGATGGAGGAACAGAAACTCACTCAAGTCTCAGGGAGCCAGCCCAGGGGGGTCAGATTCGGCATGACTGGAAGGTAGTTATTAAACCCACCAGACAAAGGAGCGCTCTGGAGCCCTCAGATAAAGGCCAGCAGCCCCTTGGGAACCTTGTGCTTCTGCGACAGCCAGGGTGAAGCTGCTGAGACTCTAGGCCACTGCAAGGGCTCCTCAAGGGCTCCCAAAAGTCAGAACCCCGGTGGCTTTGACTCAGGGGGAAGCTGCTGACTTCTCTTATCTCACCCCCTGGTGAGCAAGGGTGAAGTCGTGTGCTTAGCAAGACTTTGGGAGTGGATCCAGGGGTTGTTTTTGCTGCTTAAAAACAGACCCGCTCCCAGCATCCAAAGCAACTGGGAGAAACTGGTTGTCCAAACTTCTAAGTGGGTGTGGATGGGTGCAGTGTTCCAGGTTCCGTTCTGACTCCTTGCACACCCCATCTCCCCTTCCCCTCCCTAGACTTGGGCTTCCACTCATGGCTACCAGCTCCTCTGACCCAGAAACAACTTCCCTCTCCACCCTGTTGGGTAAAGGCCTCCAGCGGAAGTGTCGGAAGCACTCCAAGCCCAGGAATCCTGGGGGTTGGGGGTCTCACTAAACTAAACCCCCTTGTGGTGAATTCTACCTGCAGCTGTCATCCAATGTTTAAATACGGTTTGGCTCTCTGTGTCCCTCTGGTTTGCCTCTGGGTGAGACTCAATGATGAGGTGAGGAAGTTGGGGTGAGCAGAAGGCTGCGCCTTGGGGGTTATGGGAGTTTCTGGGCAGTGGCAGAGCCGGCTGCCAGTGATGGTGCCTTTGGGACTCGTGCTCTCTTTGCGCCCTGCTGTGCTTCCCCTGCAGGCTCTTACACCTGCCTCGGGCCAGGGAGTCCTGCAGTGAACAGACTCAACCTGCCCTTCTGTCCTGGCAGAAACTATGGCTGCCGGGCCTTGAGGGTCGCTGACCACAAGGAGAGCCTTTCCTCCAGCAGAGCAGGGACCTGTCGACAAGAAGCCCAGGGGAGGAGGTGGCCCCACACCCTCCTGCTGCTGCCTGGGGTCAGAGAGGGGGCCCTAAGGGGAAAGCACAGGCCTCAGCTTTGCTGCTGACCAGCTCTGTGGCTTTTGGAAAGTCACTATTTAAAATGTTTTATATATTTTTTACTAGGTAGGAGATACATCTCTTATGAGCCTCTCAGGAGGCTGCTCAAAGCCTGTGCAGTTCTGAAGTTCTGTGTGGAACTCGTGGCCCTGGAATCAACAGAAACGTGGCTGCGGCTGCCAGTGCTGATGGAGAAGACACAGTTCCCAGGGAGAACATTCGGGCTCAGGTTGAACTCGGTGCCATGCCGTTGTCACATGGGATGAAAAGGGAAAATTTTAGTTTTGAGATGAGAACAGGAGAAATAACTGAGTTTATCACTGTAAGGAAAAGATAACTGCGACTAATTATGGCCGCTTGGAAGGCTTTCCTGGGGAAGCAGAGACGTCCATTCTCATGTCCACCCTGGCGTCTGAGACCATCGGTCAGCACCACTTCTTTCCATCTTCATTCAACACATATTTATTGTGATTCTATTGCATGAAGTCAAGCACCTATCGTGTGCTTATTACCCTATCACTTACTGTTGTTTTTTCATTGTGGTAAAGTGTGCACAATATAAAAGTCACCATTTTTGAGTGCAGAGTTCAGCAGTGTTGAGTATGTTCGCATTGCTGTGCAGCCAGTCTCCAGAACTCCCCATCCTGCAAAACTGAAGCTCTACACCCGTTAAACTGCTCCTCCCAGCCCCTGGCAACCCCCGTTCTACCTTCCGTCTCTGTGAATTTGACTATTTTAGATAACTCATAAATGTGGTATCATGCAACATTTGTCTTTTTAGTGACTGGCTTATTTTACTGAGCAGAATGTCCCCAAGTCTCATCCATGTTGTAGCCTATGTCAGAATTTCCTTCCTTTTTAAGACTGAATATAGTAATATCCTATCACTTACTTTTAAAAAGAAAAACTGATTGGGGGCTGGCCCTGTGGTGTAGTGGTTAAGTTTGGTGTGCTCTGCTTCGGTGGCCTGGGTTCATGGATTCGGATCCCAGGTGTAAACCTACGTCTCTTGTCAGCCATGCTGTGTTGGAAACCCACATTTAAAATAGAGGAAGATTGGCACAGATGTTAGCTCAGGGCAAATCTTCCTCAACATACGAAAAAAGAAAAAGAAAAGGAAAGACTGGTTGAAATCTAATTTTTCTGTTGGCCAGTGGGGAGGGCCCGGCCTGTGGTAGTAAAGGATGAGAGAGCCACGGCTGAGGGGAAGTTCAGGCCGCTCCTCTTGATGGTTAAGGAATGCTTTGGTGTCACTTCCTCCTTCTTCCCAGCAGATGGCAGCACACTCTGAGTGGGGCCAGCTAATCCCTCTGAGAAAGTCAGCGGAGGCTCCAGACAAAAGGGAGGGCTTTGTGGCACTGCCGAGATTCTGCATTTTTGGTGTTGAATCTCCCAGTTGTTTTCTCCTTTAAGATATGAAACAAAAATCTCCACTTCAACCATCATATATTAAGATTCTGTTATCTACCGTGAGCTTGCACGTTGATTTCTCTTTTTTGTCTTCACAACATCCCTCTTCCTGTTTTACAGAAAAGTGAAACCCACAGAGGTTAAGGGACTTGCCCAAGGTCACACAGCTTCTAAGTGGAGGTTCAGGAATTTGAGTTCAAGGCCAGTCTTCTTTCTAGCATATGTAAATATGTAAATATGTATATGTAAATATGTAAATAATCATAGTAAACATGTAAATTATTTTTATTGAGTTTTCTTCCTTCATCCCTCCCTCCCTTCCTTCCTCCCTTCCACAAATATGTTGAGCTCCTCCATGTTCTAGGCCCCAAGAATCTCCACTCAGATCTTTTCTATTATGGGTTCCCAAGAGATTGACTCAGCTGCTTGGTAACTGGCAGTCTCCCAAGAATTCAAGAATTCTTCCTTTCTGAAAGGCTGGCTAGTTTAAAGTAGCAGGGCCTGAGGGTTAGAGCTTCTCATCCTAAGGAATTTGCAAAGCAACCAGGCCTTTTCTCGCTGCCTCCAACCACTTCTAGGCTGGCAGTCACTTGACCTTCATATTGCCTTGCCCTTCCCCATGCTCTGCCAGTCCAGTGTCCCTGGAACAGAAGTGTCCTCTCAGAGAGGAGGCAGCCAATGGGAAGCCCTGGGCTGGGAATCTGGGTGGTCCTGCAGAGCCAGGGGTTAATCCTGAGAGACGGGCAGCTTTTGTAAAAGGAGAGTGTGGAACTAGGCGCTCTCAACACCCTCCTCCAGTTCTGGTGATCACATTGCTCTGCAGGAGATTGCTTGAGGGGTGAGCATGCAACCCAGGCTGGCCAGTGAGGTGAGAAGTCTGCGGGGCACTTCTGGGACAGGGTTTCTCACTTTTAAAAAGAGTCATAGAGGGTACAGGCCCTTTACCTCCACTGGACATTTCGTGTCTGGATGTGACACCTAGAACTAAGGCAGCCACCTTGTGGCCGTGAGGGCAGCTGGCCTGAGGACCGAGCCGCTGTGCCTAGGGTCACTGACAGAAAGGTGGCAAGAAGCCTTGGTCCTCACTGAGTTGACCAGCATGAGCTCTTCCCTATTTTAGGACTTCTTGTTATGTGAGCTAATTTATCTTTCCTTATTGTTTAGGCCATTTTGATTGGGTTTTCTGTTATTTTCGAATAAGAGCTACCTAATCGATAGTCACCTTTGCTTTTTCAGAGTTGTGTGATCCCCAAAGTCTACAGGCCTTTTCCTAAGGAAGTCAAAGCATTTTTCAATTGCAGACTGGGAACTGGAATTCATCTACTCATTCATTCAACAAATATTTATCGAGAACCTAGAATCATATTTTTAAAAACTCTGTGACACATTTTCTCCCCTACAACTCAAAATCTCTGAAATTGGGATGTGTCTTAAATTGATGGCATGTTTTGATTTCTGCTGGCCACACAGCAATCTTTTTTTAAAGATTGGCCCTGAGCTAACATCTGTTGCCAATCTTTTTTTTTTCCTTCTCCCCAAAGCCCCCCAGTACATAGTTGTATATTCTAGTGGGATAGTGTATATTCATGTGGGACGCTGCCTCAGCATGGCTTGATGAGCAGTGCCATGTCTGCACCCAGGATCCAAACCAGTGAAA